GTACCAGGTCATGAGCCTTTTATTGATAAGTTTTGGGGCACGCTGATACCAGATGCTGCTTGTTTGAGAGATTTTAGGAAAGTCTGAAGCATGAATCAGGACAGGCCATTCATATGGCAAAGCCATTGCAAACAGCTTGTGTGGGGCTGCAAATTGGATGGGGCAGGTTCTCGGGGAATCCAGGGCGAAACGAACAATGTGGGCCATGCTGGTGAAAACTCAGATATGGCTTCCAGTTAGCTCTGTGATGGAGGAGGTCCCAGCACAGGAAGAATAACCCCTGTGAGCACCCCTGTCTGGGAGAAAGCCATCCCTGAGTTCCTGCCACATGCCAGACAGTCCAGTTCCTCCATATATCCCTGGATTCCTTCAAAGCCACCAGGCACTGGAGCTCAGAGGAAATGGGCCTTTTAAGAGGAACACCTGGGTCTCCAGCAGCCTCCATGTCACTCAGCCACAATGCCTGCTGGTTTTTACAGCCTGGAGTTATGAGGACTTCTCTTCCCAGCTCTGGAACCCTGGGGTGGGGGTCTGGGGTGGGGCTGGGACTTCCTGCTTCTCATGGTAGGCCTTGGAGATATCTCTCCCGATTAAAGAAACACCACACATGGGTGTCGGAACAGCCCGTTCTACAAATTCCAAGGTCTCAATGTGCTTTCTTCTTTACTTCTCTAGTTGTAGGACTTCCATTCAGCCAGATTTCAGGTGGTTATGAATGATAGTTGCTCTGTATTTTAGCTGTAATTTTGATGTGGTTGTGGAAGGCAGCGTGTACCAACATTTAACTACGCCACCATCTTGGTTCTCTTGGGGGTGGTCTCTTAATAATCCATGAGGGTTGGGGGGAAGCCACCCTAAAAGGCTAAGTGCCACTCATTCCCTGTGCCCCTTTGCTTGGATTTCTCTCTTCACCATGAGTTAGTTCTGAGCCTGCCTGCGAACAGTGTCATGAGGTATTACCGCCTGCACACAGTAGGCTTATTAGGAAGTGCTGGGAGGAGGGCAGCCAGACTAGTGCTCCCCCAGGTGAAGGTCCACTGAGGCTCTGACAATAGCCAACCACCCAAGGTAGCAATCAAATGGACCATAACAAGAACCCAAGCTGCCCTGGTGAGTCTCCCAAGGGAGAAGGCTGGGCTTCCTCAGTGTCTGGGGTGGAAAAGCAGGATTCCTTCAGGAGTTGAACAGAATATTTGAAATGATTAAAGCCAAGGGCACAGCTGTTGGACATGGCAGGACACAGTCGATTTGTTGTTAAGGATGTGCCCATGTTCATCCTTCACAACAACTCAATCTCTAGGACCTCAAGCCCAACATCTGTGAGAGGGCAGGGCTCTGTATGGCAAAAGGGAGTTCAGCAAGATCTTGAACCCCAGAGGCAAGGGACAAAGAGATCTCGTAGAATTTGCTTCCCATTCAAGTGGCTGACACATAGAATTCACAAGTATTTCTTTATTGCACCCCATTATGTGCTAGGTACTATTTATTCTAGGTGCTAGGGATCAGAACTCAACCCCCTTGCCTGCTACTAGACATTCTAATGGTGTGAGACTGACAATAAATGAGAATATAAATAAACCATGTTGCTTAGACAATAAAGAGTAGCCCTGGCTGGGTGGCTCAGTTGATTGGAGAGTCGTGCCATACACCAAAAAATTGCAGGTTCCACTCCTGGTCGAGCCACATATCTAGGTTTCAGATTTGATTCCCCAGTCGGGGTATGTAGGGGAGGCAACTGATCGATGTTTCTCTTTCACATCAATGTTTTCTTTCTCTCTCCCTCTCTCTCCTCCTCCTCTCTCAAATCAATAAACATATCCTTGGGTGAGGATTTTAAAAAAGAAATAAAGAAAAAGAAAAGGAGTGATGAGGTAGAGAATGAATGGCCAAGGGGAGGAATGCTCTATCCTGGGAGGTCAGGGAAGGCCTCTCTAAGACATGATGTTTGGGCTGAGATCTGATGAAAGAAGGAACCAGCCATGTAAAGTTTTAGGGGAAGAGCATTCCAAGGAGACAGAACAGCTGATACAATGCCCCGAGTGGGACAAGCTTAGCATGTTTAAGGGAGAAGTGATTCCCATTGAAATCAGAGACATCAGCAGGGCCAGCTTCTTACGAGTCTTGTAGGCAATATCAGAGGAGTTTAGATATTGTTTAAAGAGCAGTGGGAAGGCATTGGAAGGTTTTAAGCAAGGGAGTGACATGATTTGATCTTCAGAAAGAGCACTCTCATGACTTTGTGAAGAACAGATCATGAAGGAAGGGAAACCACTTAGGGGTTAATTACATTAATCCAAGTGAGAGAGATGATGGTTTGGCCCAGACTGGTAGCAGGGGAGGGGGAGAGAAATGGACAGACAGACTAAGGAAGTTTTGGAATAAGATCTATAGAACTCAGATGGGATGGGGAAACATGGTAACAATCAGGTGGAGAATGTGCCCTCCAAATGGGGAAATCTCAAGGAGGGTCAAGTTTTAGGAGGAAACCCCAGACATGCAAAGTTTGAAGTGACTCCAGGGGAGATGTCAGGAGGCTGTTGGAATGTCCTAAATTCTGCAAAGGATACCCAGATGCGCAGAACCCAGAGCCTACTTTGGAGGAGCTTATTGTCCAGCTGTGAGATGGAACCTAGTGGGGGAGAATCTGCCCTGTGCCCCACTCCTTCCTTTTCTACCCAAGAGCCTCAAAGACCTGTTTCATTAGGGAAAAATTAACCCCACCCTCTGAGACTCCCTCTGTTAGAATCATGGAATCTCTTCCAGCTCAGAAATGTCATGATTCTATGAGACCTGGCACCGACCAATGGGTAGAGAGTCAGTCTCGTTCTAGGAATAGTCTGAGAGTTCTTTGACCACAAGGGCCAAGGGCCAGGGTAAATAAGCTTTCCTAAATCCCCCAGATCCTGTTATTCTGAGTATTAGGCACTCCCCTCTGAGAATTTTTAGAGGAGGTTCCTCTTTTTTCACTCAGCCTTTTTCTTCAGGTGAAAGAAAATCTATCTAAAAGGAGTATCAAGAGTGGTCTTAAAAGGAAGAATAAGGGGGGAGTGATTGAGGTCCACCCGCAGCCTCAAAGGAGAGAGAGATGTGAGAGGGAGGAGGGGCATGGCAACCAGGGCTGCTGATCACACCTGCTGTGTCTGTCCCTCTCATGAACCAAGAAGTGGGTCTACTGTCCCCTTCATTTCTATGCCTTTCAACCACCTGGGCCTTGAAGCAACAAAGAAGCCCCCATAGAATTCAAATGTTTCCACATCATAGGACCTGGTCAAGCAGGCTGGCCAGAGCTCCAGCCTCAGAACTGCCATGGGAGTTGCAGGGAGGGGAGGGGCTCACAGGGCTTGGTGGCTTCATCTGTAAACGCAGAGCCCTGGAATCGCACTGTCCAATATGATGGCCACCAGCTATGTAGCTATTTCAATTTAAATTAATTAAAATTAAATAAAAAATTTAAGACTCAGGTCCTCAATCACGGTAGCCACATTTCAAGGGCTCAAAAGCCACATGTGACAAGTGGCTACTGTGTGGAACAATTCAGATCTAGAACAGCTTCATCATCTCCAAAAGTGCAGCCAGACAGTGATGGTTTACAACAGTGGTTCCCACGATATGGTCCCTGGGCAGCAGCGACAGCCCTGGGAGCACTTTAGAAATGCAAATGCTCAGGCCCCACCCAAATGAGAGACTCTGGGGAGGGGTTTTAACAAACCTTCCAGGTGATTCTGATGCTGAAGCCAGAAAATCAAGGCTCCAGTGCAACCCAGGGCTGGGATCTGGCCCCTGACCCTTCCCTGCTCTCTCCCTTTTCCCCCATCACATTTCTTCAGGATTATTTCATATTGAAAAAACAAAAGGATACGATTCTGTATATCTGTGCTATATTGGAGGTCCAGTCCACTTCAGAAGAGCCCCCTGAGTCTCCGGGGGTCAGAATGGTTGTAATGGAAAATCGCTCCAATGAATGTCACTGGGGTGACTGCAGAATGTCTCATGAAAACAGCCTATGGCTAGGACCCCAGGTGTGTTCCCATTTTACAGATGAGGGAACCGAAGCCTCTCACTCTTCCCGACCACCAGGACTGAGTCAGGCCTAGGGAATATCGAGGTTAAGAGCCTCGGAGACAGACGTGTCCTGGTTCTGTACCTAGGGGCCAGGTGATTGGGTGAGCGTGTACTCTCTGTAAGCCTGTTTCCTCCACTGTGAAGCCTGAATAATAATAGAACTGGTCTGCCGTGTGGATGAAACAAGCTCACGGACATAAGCGTCCCTGGCACTCAACACGTTTTCGATATTATTATACCAGGCAGTAGGAAGTCGGCCTAGTTTTCAAATTCTTTTTCAATATAAGCTGCTTTTCTTCTATTCTGTGGCCCTGAATTTCTCTTAGGATGTGAGCACCAGCTTGTGTTCCCTACACCTATTTGGGAACCAAAGAGGCATGGTGGCCCTTGTAAGTGGCATCATCAAAAGAGTAGTTTTTGCAGATTGGACGGTCTCTAGCTTTCTGGGTACAAGAGAGGTTGTTAGGTCAGGCTGGGAACTAGGAGGCCCCGTGAGCTACCCAACCCACAGTGGCCCAGAGTTCCACCACTTTGGGTCACATGACCTGAGCCAATGGCTCAGTCTCTCAGCCTCTACCTTTCCATCGGTGGGAAAGGGGGAATGGTCTGCCCAGTGCACCTGCCCTGAGTCCCCGAGATCCGAGGATGAATGCCATCCTCACCGTTCTCTAGAACTCAGGCCTCACCTTTCTCTTAGACCGTTTTCTGGCATCGTCCTCTGCGGAGAGACAGAAGCCACCAGTCTCTTCCTTTCTCCCTCCCCCACACCCAGGAACCTCGGTCCGCATGCTGCCGTCTGACTCAGCTCTCCCCACCCCTTCTCTGCCCTGGTGCTCCCTCTCCCCTCAGTTCCTGTGGATGCACCCCCTCTCTTTAACTGTAATCTATTTTTCCTCTCACTGCCTCTTCCCTCCTACCACCCCCTCCCCCCAAAACAGCGGTGGGCATCCAAATGAGGCTGGACTTCCTGCAGCGCACGTTCTGGGCAGCCACGCAGCAGGTGGGTGTGATGGAGGTCAGTTCAGGGTCAGAGGGCTCCCCACATTTCCACGGTGATGAGGGGCTGGCACTGTCAGACCCACTCCCCCGGCTGCCCCACTGCCTCTCAGCCCGCCTGCTAGGCCTCTGTCAGTCCTCCTGGATCTCTCCTTTGCCTTTCTCAGCTCCTGGAGCTCTGCCTGCAGCCTCAGTCTCTGGTCCCAGCCTTCCCCACCCAGTGCTCTCTCTCAGCTTAGACCTGGGGCAAAGGGCAGGACACCGCATCCCCTGAACTGTCGGTCACTAGTCCCTGCTGCTCAGATCCCCCACACAGCAGGGTAAGGAAACTGCCCTCCTCAGTGCCCCCCGCCAAGATCCAAGCCCAGTCTGTGGCCCACCGGCTCTGAGCTGGGCCTTACCACAGCCTCTCCCACCCAACCCTTCCTCTCCTGCCTCTGCTCCCCCTGGGCTGCACAGGGCTCCTCACTATCCTCCACAAGCTCCTCCAGCCCCGAATCTGCCCCTGACACTGAGCCTCCTCTGCTCCATGGCCCCCCTTCACTTGTTGCTGCGTCCCCACTTTGAGCAAGTGTAGGGACCAGAGAATGAAGATGGAAGGAATGGGAGGGGGAAGGAGCACCAGCCCAGTAGCCTGGGATCAGCCACCACATGGAGCAGGATGACAAAGAGCAGTAGGCGGCCACCCATGAGGCCTCCAGCAATAGGGCCCCCCTTCTCCTCGGCCACAGCTGCAGGGCCATGGCTCCCTCCGGGAAGGCTGACCCAGCCAGCAAGGATCCTGCTTCAGTGCCCTGCCCACTACCGCACACCGCCATACACACACACACACACACATCAAATACATGCACACACACACACACACACCACACATATACCACACATGGACACACACCAAACATAGATACCATAGACACACATGTGCATGTACCACTAGTATACCATAAACACACATCCGCCAGTCCCCACACATCAACACACAACACAGATGTACAACGCACATAGCACTCCCACACTCACGCGCCAAATACCTACCACACACACACAAGGGCATACCCGACTGACAATTTCTCTTCCTTCCAGTGCAGTGCGGGGGATGGGCCGTGCCCAAAGAGCTGCCAGGACGGTGTAAGTTCTTCCCAGTGTGAAGAGGGGGGAGTGGGAGCCATGGGCCCCGCACCCCAGTCCTCTGGATGAGCCAGCGCCCTCCCTCCCCAGTGCCCTTCTTTCCTGCAGTGCTGGGCTCCATGAAGGGACCTTCTCACTAGTCATGGCAGCCTGCCTTCCCAAATGCCAGGCCAGGCAGAGGACCCAGGGGGCCGGGGCAGGGCCAGAGCTCACCTCCCTCTGGGTTTCTCCTCAGGACCTGGACTGCTTCATCGTGGACAACAATGGGTTCATTCTGATCTCAGAGCGACCACAGGAGGTAAGATGCTGGGAAGTGGGGGTAGGAGTAAGCCGAGTCCTCCAGTAGCCATGTCTTAGGAGAAAGGGCTGATGGCCCCAGGAAGCAATCTTGCTTTAGAGCCCATTAGAGTGAAAGGTCTGCAGAAAATGGGATCGTCTCTTAAACCCAAAATCGCCGTGGGAGTTGCAGGGTGAAGCGGCTCCCATTAGCCGTGCCTCAGTTTCCTCCTCTCTAAGATGAGGGGGCTGCACCACACGATGTCTAAGGCCCCAGATTCTCGGTGCCTGGGGTATCGGCAGAGCTGGGGAAGCAGGCGGGGGTGCCGAGGCCGTGGCCATTATATTTAAAAAGATTACAAAATTCAGGCTCCTTTCAACTCAGATGGTCATAGGAAATATTCTTGATTTTGTAACGATTCAGGCCTTCTCCCGGAGTTGGTTGGAAATTGTCCACATAATGAGGAGAGGCTCAGCCCAGCTACCTCTTGGGTCCGTGGCTGTCATTGAGGGCATGGCCTCAGAGGGACCTCCTCCCAGAGTCCTACGCTCTCTCCCAATGCTCATTACTCACCCCTTTGTCGAATTCCCCTCCCCGCTTGTCCACCCAGGCTGCTATAGCAATTACAGGCTGGGGGCTTATAAACAGGGAACTTGTTGCTCACAGTCCTGGAGGCAGAAAGGGAACTTGTTGCTCGCAGTCCTGGAGGCAGAAATCCGAGGTCAGGAGTCAGGATGGTTGAATGAGGGCCCTCGTCCGGGTCTCAAACTTCTCATCGCATCCTCATGTGGAAGAAGGGACAGGGGAGCTCTCTGGCTCTCCTTTGTAGGGCACTGAAACCAGTTCTGAGGGCTCTGCCCTCGTGGCCTGAGCGCCTCCCAAAGGTTCCACCTTTGACCATCACCTTGGAGGTTAGGTTTCAACATGTGAATTTGGGGGACACCTTCAGACCATAGGCCCTCCCCTTCTACCTTCCTGGGGCCCAGAGGGCCAAATCTTCCTCATTTTGTGCTGTCTTCCTGCCTGGCCCTCCCTCATGGACAGTTCTATTCCAGCCCTGCGCCTCGGTGTGCCAGCGGGGAACAGGAATGGAGGTGGCCCTTCTCGTGTCGCAGCCCGGCTCACACGTATAACCTCCCCCGCCTGTGATGGCTCCTCGGACCCCGCTCGTGCTCACAAAGACGAAAGAGAAGGTGCAATCATAATTTCGTTTTGCCAAGCCCAAAACTGGGCCCCGATATTAATTATGTAGCCAGGAATCAAACTAAAAGGAAGCCTATTCAAACCTGAGCCCAACCTGAATAGCTTCCCATGAAATATTTCCTTGAAACAAGCCAGAAGCATTGAAAAATCCTCCAAGCTGAACCTCAATGGGAGGGAAATAGTATTGGGTCCAGAGTGAGCTTCGCCCCTGACTAGCTATGTGATTGGGTGAAGCAGCTCCCATTAGCCGTGCCTCAGTTTCCTCCTCCCTAAAATGAGGGGGCTGCACCACACCATGTCTAAGGCCCCAGATTCTCGGTGCCTGGGGTATCGGCAGAGCTGGGGAAGCAGGCGGGGGTGCCGAGGCCGTGACCATGGCTGTGTCTGTGCTCTGGCCTCAGAGTCCAAAGAAGTCGTGAGAACATGGCAGGAACCAGGGCATAGGAAGGAGATGTGGGAAAGAGGGCAGCTGAGGAAGGGGCACCAGTGGGTGATGGAATCCAACTCCTTGAGGAGAGGTTTTGAATGGCCCGCTCCTGCGGAGCCTGTCTCGGCAGCAGGAGTGAAGAAGCAGAGGGTTTTGTCCATTTTCCTCTTTCAGGAGTTGAGGGCCAGCTGACATCATGGCGTCTTTTGCCGGACGCGAACTGCCACCCATCCCTTGCGCGGCCTTTCCTCCTGTCCCTTTCATGCCCCCTCTTGGCCTTGCCACTCTTCCCTGGACAGAGCCCAGTTTATTCCGTATTTCTCAATTGCTCTGAGGGGAATGGGTGATCACAGAAATGAAACCAGTGGTTGGAAAGAGGCTTTGGGCCTAGCTAGTGCTCTCAATCATTCATGCCCTGACCCCTGTGCCCTGGGGAACTGAGAGGGCACCTCTGCAGGTCCCCATGGTGTTGGCTTTCAAGCGCCAGAGTTTCAGAGACAGTATTTCTCAATTGCTCCGAGGGGAATGGGTGATGACAGAAATGAAACCAGTGGTTGGAAAGAGGCTTTTGGCCTAGCTAGTGCTCTCAATCATTCATGCGCTGACCCCTGCGCCCTGGGAACTGAGAGGGCACCTCTGCAGGTCCCCGTGGTGTTGGCTTTCAAGCGCCAGAGTTTCAGAGAGAGTGCGG